GGAAGGTCCCGCTGCGGGCCCGCAACCTGCCCCCGTCCTTCTTCACCGAGCCGTCCCGGGCGGGCGGCGGCGGGTGCGGCCCGTCGGGGCCCGTCGTGAGCTTGGGCGACCTGGAGAAGGGCGCCGAGGCCGTGGAGTTCTTCGAGCTGCTGGGCCCCGACTACGGCACCGGCACCGAGGCGGGCGTCTTGCTCGCCGCGGAGCCTCTCGATGTGTTCCCCACCGGAGCCGCCGCCCTGCGGGGACCCCCGGAGCTGGAGCCCGGCCTCTTTGAGCCGCCGTCGGGGATGGTGGGGAGCCTCCTGTACCCCGAGCCGTGGAGCGCCCCAGGCTGCCCCTCAACCAAGAAGCCGCCGCTAGCTGCCCCCCGCGGCGGCTTGACCTTGAACGAGCACTTGCGCCCGCTGTACCCCGCCGCCGCGGACTCTCCGGGCGGGGAGGATGGGCCCGGCCTTTTGGCCTCTTTCGCCCCCTTCTTCTCAGACTGCGCCCTGCCCGCGCCGCCGCCGCCCCATCAGGTGTCCTACGATTACAGCGCGGGCTACGGCCGCACGGCTTACTCCAGCCTCTGGAGACCGGACGGCGTTTGGGAAGGGGCGCCCGGGGAGGAGGGGGCGCACCGGGACTGACTGCGAGGCCCCCTTCCCTCCCACTGAGACTGCTGTGGGAGCTCCCGCCCCCGGGTCTCTCCTAAGCCTAAAGAACGATGGGAAAGTGCACGTGGAGATGACACGGGATTTAACAAAAAATCGATTAATGAAAGAAACTTCAGAAAAAGAGATGAAGAGGAGTTGGGGGTTGTTTTATCACAGCCTCAAATGTTTTTAAAAAAGAAAAGCCGTTGATAGGTTCTTACTGGAAGAGACGAGCCAAAAAACCAAGACGGTGTTTCGGGAATGGGGAGGGGATGGCGGAACGGGCAAGAGGTGGCTTTTGTAGCCACCTGTCCCTTCTCCAATTTTCCAGCAAAAGGTCAGTGTATTTAGTGTAATTGCCCCTTTCCAACAGTGCCCTGTTCCCTCCCCTTCCGTCCCCTTTGAGTGCATTATGAATTAAAGCCTATGTTGAAAAACTGGAGCGGAGGTATGTTATTGATTTGGGCGATTTCTTGGAGGACGGTTTTCCGTGTGGTCTCTGCCTTGTTAGGTGAGAGTGTTGCTGAGGACACGAGGCCAGTGGTCCACTGCTGACCTCCCTCACACTTGTCCTTCTCTGTCGCCCTTCTTAAGTTTTTTCCTGCTCTCTTCCTTCTTCCATCTCTTTCCACTCAACAGTGCCCTTGCTTACTTTCCTTCTCTTTCTTTCTCTGGGCTCTCATTGCTCTCTCTGATATTTTTTTCTGTCGGCTTTTCTTGCAAATCTCTGATGTAGGAATCTTAAATCTGGCAAACCTGGGGTCCATTTCTCTCCTTTCCTTTTCGCATTCTTCAACCACTTTGGGAGGGGGAGACTGGGTGAATTAGAACCTCTTGGCATCTAAGTTTCCTTATCTGAGAGGGTGAGGATGACAATATTCCTCTACTTCTCACTCTCTCACAGCTTGTTGGGACCTCAGAGGGGAAATACATAAATGTCTTGAGGCCGCTGCAGTGCTTGGTTGGTTCTGCAGGAATATATATTTTATATACATATATAAATGTTCTCTACACATGGAAGCTGTTAGGATTGTGAGTCTCATGTTCTTTTTGGGCCCATCTCTTTGCCTGGCGATTGCCCTTTCCCTTACAAGCTGTACACCCTCCCTCCTCTCTCTCTTTCTCCTGCTCCCCTCCCCTTTCCGTTGGTTTCTGTCTCTGTGTTTCTTCACTCCCTACACCCACACTCTCCCCCGGAAGGAAATGGTGAAGAGTGTGAAGTTTCCAAAGGACTATGTCTATTTCCTGAATAGCAGGTTGATGAATGGAATCTGAAGGTGCCCTGGAGAGAGGAGTCTGATCTGTGTCATCTGAGATTTGGGAGATTTGGGAATAAGTCAGAGGAATGTTTGAACCAGGCATGAAGCGGCAGAGAGGACACATGGCATCATGAGGATGGTCGAGGGGCAGAGGAGGAAAGACTGGGCGGGAAGTGAGGAGCTGGAAAGAAAAGAGGGGGCCCTTTGCTTCTCAGACCTGCCAGTGAAAATGCATGAGGAGACCAACACCCAGGAAATAGGAGATGTTGCCTATTGATTAATTACATTGCCAGGGAGAGCTGCCTCTGTTCAAGGCAGCCAAGATAGATGATAAAAATACCTACCTTTGAGAAAGTTGCAACTCCAGTGTTACTGCAAAAGATGTTAAAATTCAGGTTAATGTTGGTACAAAGCAAAAGTGCTGTGATATTTTCAAAAGGAATTTGTGAAAAAAAATGGGTTATCAAGACATGGCAGATAACTTTAAATACCATCACTAAGTCACTTTCTTCTGAATAAAACCTTTCTTAAGAAAGCACCGCAGGAAATATAGCATTGAGTCTTACTAACGATGAAAAGAACTTTTGTACCTCCAGAAACTTGGTGTCTATAGAATTCCTTTCAAAGTAGTGAAAAGTGATTAATTCCATGGTGTTAGAAGAATATTATTCAACAATTGTTTAATTTATCTAAACTACTTTATGATGAGGACAATCCAGGATAGAATTGCACAGTAGGAAAACATTAATAACCCCGTGACAATTACTAAGGCTGTAGGGTCCCTGCAATGTTTCTTTCTTAATTTCCTCCAGCTTAGTTAAACACAGTCTCTCCCAGTATCTTGCTTGCCATGTCTTTCATTAATACCAGTAATACCAACTCTGCATGTTTCCATTTGCCAGCACTGAGCTCAGCACCGACACATCGAGCCTCTTAACAGTCCGGCGAAGCAGGTGCTGTTAGTATCCCCGTTTGAGAAGTGAGGCTCAGACAAGTTAAATAACTTGTTGAAAGAAAGTAGTGGATCCAAGATCTAGATCTACAAGTGTCCTAACAAGACCGGCCTGCTATTCATGAGGCTGTGCTGTGCTTGTTACTGTGTATGGTTCCCAGTCCCCGATACATGCTACCAGCAGCGTTTCACAACCTCACCACTATTGACCTTTTGGATGGGATAATTCTTTGTCCCGTGCATAATAGAATGTTTAGCAGCCTCCCTGGCCTCTACCCACTAGATAGCAATAGCACTCCCCTAATTGTGACAATTAAAATTATCTCTGTTACCACATGTCCCCTGAGGGGCAGAATTGCTGCCAGTTGAGAACCACTGTGCTAGACAAATATAGAAGCAGCATCTGTGGGGTGCCTGGCGCTTTCACATACATGATCTCATTTAATTCTTACAAAGGCGTGTGCTTGGGTATTGTTATTATCCTCACTGTTATAGGTGAAAAGTGAAAAGGCTGAGGGAAGGGGCTAAATCAATCAATTTAGCTACGTCTTATCTCCGCTAATTTACCAGCCATGGACCAGTTACTTGACTGTATTGAGATACAGTCTTCCCATTGGCAAAACTGGATAGCAGTCTGTCACAAAGAGTTCTTGTGGGGATTTAGCGTAGGGAATGTATAAATGCCCGCAAAAAGGGAAGGGGTAGTTCTTAGTAGCAAGCAGCCAAGGCTTGGCGTTATGTCAAGGTTCCAAACCACCCTGTTATCCAGGATGCCAAAAAGGTGTGCTTGACCACCATGCACCCTCCAAATTGCCCCATCTCTGATTCCTCTTCTCCGCACGTTGCCTTCCAGTCTGAGCACATATGTGTCTGACCAGGCCACCTACCACAGTACAGTAAGAAGTGCCCATTAATAATACTCCTGCTGAAGGCTGAATGCATTCTTGCTTCCCCTCATTTGTCTTTCTCTACTGCAGCCTGTTAGAGAGTATTTTTGTCTATTGTTTAGCCACATAATTGCTTATACAGATTTCTTTCTAAGTGCAACAGTGGTTATTTTTCAAGACTGCAAATGTTATAATGTGCTTGTAATTGTATGACTTTGGACAGGTTGGTGATCCTAGCCTAGTTGGTAATGATAATTACTACACTATATGTTGCATATTCATGAATATTCATGAATATTGCATATTCTCAGCCTTGGTGCCTGGAATGTGTTTTAGTATCTTCCTGCATCCTCTAAATGGCTGTCCCAAGCCTTTGCTCATCTCCATTTCAAGCCTCCACCCTACCCTTCTGCTCACTCCCATGTCCTGACATTCGGAGAGCATCTGTTGTAATCCCTTCCACTTCCCGTCCTCACTTTCACACATGAGTTTTTCTCTCCAGCAGGCAGAACCTTCTCCTGCCCTTGAGACCCAGCATCCCGCCCCTTCTGCTTCATGAGGACAAGATGCTGCTCCTTTAATTATCCTTAGTCTCCTGTCTCCAGCCTCACCCTCACTTTTCCCTCTCTTCCTAGAAATAAACCTTTAGCATGGTTTAAAAAATAAGAAAGAGAGGGAATAAAGATGTGAGAAACTCTCTCAACCCTGTTTCTTTCTCTACAGTTACTCTATCTTCTTATCTTTAGAGTCTAGTCTCTCAGAAAAAGAATCCACACTTTTTGCCTTCACCTCACCTGCTATTTAAACCTTAACTATTTTGAGTCCTAGGGTGACCAACCATCCCAGTTTGCCCAGGACTGTCTCAGTTTTAGCACTGAAAATTCCATATACCAAGAAACCCCTCAGTCCCAGGCAAGCTGGGACAGTTAGTGACTCCATTTCTGCCCACCATTTCCCCAGAATTGCTGTCGCGAAGCCCCAGTCACCAACCGTGGGGTCTTCAGCCTTCGGCTTTCTTGGCCTCTGTGCTGCATATGAACAATTGGGCCCCATCTTCCTAAAACTCTCCTCCTTGGGTTTTTGGAGCCTCATTTTCTTTTGGTTTTCTTCCTAACTTTCTGGCTCTACCTTCTTCTTCTCCTTGCTGGAACTCTCATACAGTGGTGTGCCCCTCGGATCCCTTACTTCTGCCCTCTGCTCTTCACACTGCACACATTCTTTCCAGGTGATGGTGGGTCTTCCCAAGGCTTCAGCTAGCAATAACGCACTGATGACCTCCAAATCTATGCCTGTAGCCTCGGCTTCTTTCCTCCGTCCTAGACCCATTTCTTTACCATTTCCCAGATGGCTTCTCCTGGGGGGACCGTAATCTCCTCAAACTTTATGTCAAAAATTGAACACACACACAACCTGAGTAGCCCACAGTCAACCAAACCACAATCTTTCTTGTAGCCTCTCTCATCCTGTCCAAATATTACCAAGGCCTATTCTATACTATCTTCTAAGTCAGTATATTGCAAATATTTTATTCACGACCTTCAGAAAAACTTCATTTTTTTTTTGCATGAGGAAGATTCACAGTGAGCTAACATCTGTGCCAGTCTTTCTCTATTTTGTATGTGGGTCACCGCCACAGCATGGCTGGTGATGAGTGGTATAGATCTGTGCCTGGGAACCAAACCTGGGCTGCTGAAGCAGAGAGCACACCAAACTTATCCACTAGGCCATGGGGCAGGCCCTCCAGAAAAACTTCATTTTCTATTATGTCCCAATACATCATATCCATATTCATATAAATTCATATCCTATAAACATACCCATACTTACTAATTTAAATATTATTAGATCATTATCTATATTAATATTTGCTGATCCATTTTGATAAATAATTGAATTTTTTTAAACAAAGCCCAGATTCTTGCTAGGAGCTATATGGTACACTGATATTTTCTATTTCTTAATAAAATCTGGCTATTATCCATTAAATTGCTTTTGTGACTCACTAATGGGTTGGGCCTGCAGTTTGAAAGGCACTGCTCTAAGCAACTCTTGTGTGTCTCCTCCATCCCTCTGCCAGGGTCACTTCCTTAGTTTGGGCCCTCATCACTCCTCACCTAACCTACTGCAACGATCTCCTGATGACTTCCTTGTCTCTGAACTCAAAATCCTTTAAGCCATCCTCCCCATTGCTCACTGAAGTGATATTTCTGAAAAGCAACTTTGATGTTATCCATCTTTTTCTTAAAATCCTTCAGTGGCTCCCTGTCACTTCCAAGTTAAAGTTCAAAGTGCTTAGCTTAAACACGTGACTCCTGCTAGCCTCTCTAGTCTCGCCTAC